GAGTGGGCTGCCATGGGGCCGGTGTTTTGGTTTTCCATACATTTTGAGTGAATTTTGTCGTAGCCTGCCCTCCGTATCTGATACTGCAAAACAAAAAATGTTACACGGTTAATGAAAACACACATACTTTGCCAGAGATCCAGAGGAAAGCCTTCAAGATGAACGCTTTTGTGTAAATCTTTAAAAAGTAGAAGTCATCATTCCCAAAGATCTAGAGGAAAGCTTTTGAAATAGAAGCTTTATTTTTAACTATAGAAAAGATTACTCCCAGAGATCTAGAGGAGAGCTTTCGAAAATAGAAGCTTGTATAGAAAGCTTTTTTAATATAGACATGATCATTCCTAGAGATTACTTTTGGAAAAATTCATCTATCTACTCAAGCACAGTGCTTTGACCTAGTTCCCAGCACTCCCAGGGCAAGAAACCACTGTAAAATGCAGGATTTCCTGTTTGAATTTACACTGCATTAGAATCAAAGTTGCACTACATAGAACTATATTGGCATTAGTTTAGAATTAAACAATGGTTGAATTAGAACTGAATTCAACCTAAATTAGAACAAAATTGGTTGGAATTATTTAACTTTGAAATCGATAAGCATTTTAATTAGGATTGAACTAGAATTAAGTTTATTACAAGTGAAATTGAATTAGTTTAGAATTACAATAGGATTAAATTAGAGTTGAATTAGGAGTAAGCTAGAATTGAAAATGAACCAGAGTCAAGTTTGCATTGAATTTATATAAAGTAAATTAGACGTACTGTAACATAGGATTAATTTAGAATTATGTTAAAGTTGAAGTGGAACTAATTTTTTGACCTAAAATAGACTTGAGTTTGAACTTAATTCCAATTGAATTGGAAATGAATCACAACTACAGCTTCCACTTGTTCATTACAGTTTCATATGTCAAGCTGCTTAGAAATGCAACAGCACTGATACCCATCAGGACATATCGACAAGGGCAAAGGGAGTGGTGGGCTCAGACGCTTTGAGTTGTAAGAAGAAAGAACAGAAGACTTCAGGTGAGAGTCAGGCTCAGATGCTTGGAGATTGAACGAGATAGGAATAGCCCAGATTGCCTGAGAAAGAACACCATAGTTAAAGCCAAGAATCCTAAACTATCAAAAAACACTTTGGAACAACAAAACAAGAAAAGACACAATTCTGGGAAGTCTTGGGGAAGGGGGGTCCAGCCAAGAGTCTCTGAGAATTGTTTTTTGTTTTTCCAATGCTTTTTCTTACAATCATCTAACAGTTCAATGCAGCTCAATATATCTTAAGGCAGGATACAGAAAACCAAAAACGCAGGCTCCATGGCGGCCCCTTTCTGTAAAGTTATTTATCTTACATTATATAAACCTAAATGAATTAAACGTAAGCAGATATATATATATATATGTGTGTTATGAAAGCCAGCCGATAGGCTAGGCTGGAGTTGTCGATGGGCGAGCAAAGTGAATATTGGGCGGTGTGTGGGGGTTTGCATAGGGGAACAATTCGGGTAGGGCAAACCCAGAGCCTGGTGGAGGAGAGCGAAGAAAAGAGGCGGTTCGAAAAGCAGCGAAAATGTATGGTTTTTGGGGTGTTGTGATGCAAGTGATGTAATCGACGCCGAAAGTGCATCATTAGCATCATGAGGGGCTCAGGAGGCTGTTCAAAGAGTCTTCGGCCAGGGGGACGTGAGAAGTGGTTGGAACCCTTTCAGGAAAGTGAGTGGATCAGGTAGAACTGGCCGACGGTCTGACGAACAGCACGAGGAAGATGGAAAAACAAATTCTGGGTGGTGCCCGTGGTGTGCCCGATCACTTTTGAGGTACATTGGTCAGGCCCAAGGGTCAACTCCACCACTCCAGCCTGTCGATTGTGTGTTGTTTAAATATATATCTACTTGTGCAAATATACAGCATGTAGATATTTACCAGACATGGCAACATGCTTGGCCTTGTATGAAACAGGACCCAATATACGAGTTGCCTGAGCACCTTTATGGCAAACTGTCCTGCAGCCAATTGAGCCATGAAGATCTTGGTGCTTTGCTTGTTTGACCCTCCCTGCTGAGGCGCACAGAGATGCGAATTCGCTTGACCTCGTTAATGTGTCAGAGCTGCGACCGCAGAATCGGAAAAGAACTTGGCGCCCACAGAACACCCACAGAGCAGTCCAAAGCAAAAAATACATGCAAAAGGCAAAACACATGCATTTTACGCAAGAAGAACATTTTTCAATGTTTGTTTTGATATAGGTATAGGGAGTAACTTGCTTGATTTTGCAATGCGAACCCCGGGAGTGCGTGAGTTCTTTCTTTGCTGGCAGCCGTTGGCTTGAAGCCTGAAAAACAGATAAACCCATGACACTTTACGCCTGCGCACACACACACACACACACGCACAATAAAGTAAGTGGACGATTCCAACCAACCAGCCTTGTTGGTTGGACTACTTCGCCATGCTGGAAGATTACTATTTCTGTTTGCACTTCGATTGGCTTGCAGCGAGAATTGAAATCACTTAGATGCTTCAATCCATTGCCGGTTTTGCACACCTGAAAGGCCCGCAGTTTCCATTTCTGCTTGCAGAACCACGGTGTTGGTCCAGTCTTTTGATTCCAAAGCAGCGCTTTGCCGATGATGCCCTCCAATGGGCACTTTGCAGATCGATGGCATGGAAGGCACGCTTTGGGCCAAAAATGTCCCTGAAGCCGTGGTTTTTGCACACTTTCTGGTTGCCTTAGCTAGCCTCAGGTGCGCTGCCGCCCTTTTAGCATCCGAAAGTCTCTGCATCAGCACTGCGAGTGCCCGGTTGGCTCTGCACGTCAACACAGTAGCGAAGCATCATTTCCCTAAAAGATTTAGCGAACGGTGCAGCCTTCACCGAATCACAGTCGCTGAAAGGGAGCTGCTCGAAGGTCCCAAGCCTCGAGCAAATCTCTCATGTTGGAGAGGTGATACAGCAGGCTGCCATTCCTTCCAATCACCTAGAGTCTCGAGCACCTCGTTGTTGGGCACGACCATCACCTGATGCCCACGACATCCCAAATGTGTCTGGGGGGAGATCTGCTTCGGAGTGCTGGAGCCAGGTGCCTCTGATCTTCCCAGATCCAGATGAGGCTGAGAAGATGGGAAGGGAGGGAGGGTCGATGGAGTTCCATCGAGTTCCGCATTCCGTTTCGTGAGAGCTAACCTGTGGTTAAGAGGTCACATGTGTGGAAAGCGCTTTTCCTGACTTGGAAGCCGATTTCGCCATTGGTTTTTGAGGACATGACGCGATGCTGGGGATTCTTTGTATTCACCTTTCCATGTGGAACCACGAAAGGCACAATTTCGTCCTTATCTTTTCCACCATTCCAAGAGATTCTTTAAATTTAGGTTCTGGAAAGCTGTTTTTGTTTTGCAGGCAGGCGGAAAGACCAGCAGGTTTCCAGTTGATTGGCCTTTCGTTTTTGGTACCTCTGAGTGAACTCCAGATTTGAGGCTCTATGATTGAACAAAGAGCATGTTGACCACTGCTTCCCACTTTAGACATGGGAAGGTGGGAAAGCTTACCATCAGCTTTTAATGGCGACAGGGTTGGGCAGTGGGGGAAGCCCAGCTGCCAGGTAATCTTGCCTGAAATCGAACAAGAGGCCGGCGGTCGGGTTGAGAGTGAGTATTTATTTGTAGCAGCAAGAGGAACATAGCAATGCTTCAACTGAAAAGGGCACTTCCTCATTTGCATGCCTTGTCCTTTGGCGACAATTTCGAGCTTCTTCTGGTTTGCAGCTTCTTTTTGCCTAGAGGAAGTAGTTCGTTCGACAGCCGGCAGCCAGTAGAATAGACCTACCATGGCCATGAAGATGTCCGTGCGATTGGTCCTCCTTGCGATGTTCATGTTCCTCATGGACGGTGTGAAAGCGAGTGAGAACACCACCACCACGATGGAAACTACCACGACGATGGATCCGAATGCTACGAATGACACGACCACCCAGGATGGAGTTTCCGTGGGCTTGTCATCAATGGCCACACCGTCAGTGGCTCTCTTCGCCACTTTGCACCGCCAGTCAAACTCTTTACTTTGTTGCAGTTCACACCACACATGTGAACGTCGTGTCAAAGCTCGAGTTGCATGGGTTAGTTTGGATTTGGATGTTTTTTCTTTTGTGACTGTTGCAGAGATGCCTAGGCCGCAGTCTGCTATGGAAGCTTGAACTAGCGCAATTGTCCAAGACATTGAAGAGGTCTATCAACATGCACCACGAGATCTCTTCGGCTGGTGAACCAACTCTCGGTGTGGGGAGTGCAAATCTGGTGACAGATCAATACGGCTTTGACTTGACTGACTTGACTCAGTGACAGATCAATAGGTAGGTTGCCGTTTCTCACACCAATTTGTGATCCGACCCTGTAGGTGCCTGCATCCTGGCAATGACTGTTGCGAGCGACTGAGGGTTGGAGGGCCGGTGCTGCATCTCGATGTGCAGTCTCCTGCCACTGCATAGGCCAGTGGTATCACATGAACATATCAGCATCTAAGCAATCCAATTACTGTATGTACTTATCCTAAGACTGCTCCAAGGTTTCAGAGCTTTGAAGAGAAGAGTGGAGACGGCGCATAATGTACTTTTGCATTGCCAATGCCTGAACGGCTTGGCCTTTCTTTCAGCGTTGGCCTGAAAGAGGGCTTGCGAAGCAAGGAAATAAAGGTAAGCGACTTGCTACTTTGCCTCGAGCACGAGCACTTGCTCCAGACTCCAGATCCTGCACCATTTGCTGCAGCAATGACTTATGGGGACAAACCCTTGAGACTGGTTGCAAAACCTGGTAAATGGTACATGCATGTAACATGTACATGCAAAAAAGGAGCAAGGAAGAAGGGAAGGCTTCAACACAAAAGGACACCTCTTCATATTCACGTCTTGCACTTTGGCGACAGTTTCGAGCTTCTTCTGGTTTGCAGCTTCTTTTTGCCTAGAGGAAGTAGTTCGTTCGACAGCCGGCAGCCAGTAGAATAGACCTACCATGGCCACGAAGATGTCCGTGCGATTGGTCCTCCTTGCGATGTTCATGTTCCTCATGGACGGTGTGAAAGCGAGTGAGAACACCACCACCACGATGGAAACTACCACGACGATGGATCCGAATGCTACGAATGACACGACCACCCAGGATGGAGTTTCCGTGGGCTTGTCATCAATGGCCACACCGTCAGTGGCTCTCTTCGCCACTTTGCGCCAGTCGATTTCTTTACTTTGTTGCAGTTCACACCACACATGTGAAACTTTCTGTCAAAAAAAACATGCATTGCCTGCATTCCATTTGTTTTTCCGCTGTCACAGAGCTGCCTAGGCTGCAGTTTGCTATGGAAGCTTGAACTAGGCACCGATGACGAGGTTGATCAAATGCACCACGAGACCTTTGTCAGCTGAACCAACTCTCGGTGCGGTGGGGACGCGTTTGCTGGGTTGAAGCTTTATGGAGGGCAATCAAGTATTGATAGCAAAGCAGGTGTCCCCATTGATTGATATACAGTATTTGTATGCATATGATATGGTTTTATCTTCGCGCCTAAACTAGCTTTTTCAAGGTTTCATTCATATTCACGCGGCTTCAAGACCATTTTAAAGAGTTTTTAGGGTACTTGAATTTGGCTTGGGAAGGTTTGTCATATCAGAAACTCAAGATTTAGTCAGAGAAACGCAAAGCATGCAAACCAGTTCAATATCTTCCCACATTTGATCATTTTGAGTATGCAGTGATTGCATGCCTACGCTGCAGAATCACTACATATGCTCAGTTGTTCAATGCATTCAGCAATGCGGGGGCAGAATCACTGCAAACGCTCGAACTTCGTCATAGTTTCAAGATTTCTTCTAAAACCAGTGAGGCTTCACTGGGGCTGAAAATCACATGCTCGAATCACTCAGACTTTTTGAGGGCTCAAGTCCATTTGAAACTAAACCATTGGAGCAGATGCAGTGATTCCACCTCAAAAGGAAAAAGACACATGGAGGATAAAGGGACTAAATATGGACACATTTTTGGCAAGGAAGACATTTCTGTAAGGATCAAGTGTAGATACAGGATAGAGCCCTTGGAATAAGGGACATGTTGACGGAGTCTTTTGCAATGGAATAGGCTTTCCAGTAGGAGACGAGACTTTTGTTAAGAGATGTACAGTAGCTCGAAAGATTTACTTCCAAGGGGTAAACTAACTGTACTTCAAAAAGGCTTACATATAAATTAGACATATAACAGGAGAAACGTCGCGGTTTGCAGGATTTGTTTCTAAAGGTTTGCAGGATAGAGGAAGGCCTATCTGATATGGCTTCGATGAATGAGTAGTTCACTTCAAAAGAAACACTTACAAGTCGGCTACATGTTTGTTGCGTCGACGTCCGTTCTTTGGGAAGTTGGTGGTGGCGAAGCGAACCTACGTACAAATGTATGTATGGCTAGCATGACATACACGGTGTATGTGTTGCTTTGACACTTGACTCATCAAAGCTTACTGTTCCTATCATGATTGGTGACCCTGGAGGTACTTGCGGCCTGGCTGACTGTTGTGAGAGACTGAGGGCTGGAGGGCTAGTGCTGCATCTGCAGTCTCCTGCCTACATAGGCAGATATGATCTCATGAAAGCGTCGCAAAGCCACTGTAGACTGTACATGTCCTATTAATACTAGCTCAGCAGAGCCGTAAAGAGTGGAGACAGCTCAGCACACAATGCTAACGCCCAGGTTCTTGTAGCTGTACAGCATTTGACCCACGAAAATACATGCGAAGCCTCCGGCCAAAGACCTCGTGAAGCTGCTTCTGCCTCGATGACGCTCCAATGCACCGGAAGTGGATGGGATGGCAATTGGGAAGACCCCAAAATGTCTGGGAAGAAACAGGGGATTGGGAAACACTCGTGCGAGTCCCGCACCAAAAGCGCCACGTGTGAGTCCCGCGCTTTTGCTTGCTTTCCTCTAGGGAGCCGATGCGTACTTCTCAGAGGAGGAGATGATGGCCTGGAGCGGCACGGAGGTGCCGCGGAGATCCGAGCGCCCGGACTGTGTGCCGGACTGGGAGACTGGATGGGTTCGCAGAGACAGAGGGAACCCTTGGAAACCTGCAGCCTGTACCCTGGCTGGGGTCGGAATCCAGGTTTTGGGTCATTTTACTTTCCAAAACTGGCTCGCTATGCTGGCTGATGACTCAGATGACCATCACTTGGGGACGTGACCCCTCCGCACGCACTGGAGAATGGCCACTTTTTGTGTGGCAGCCATCGATGTATTGCACGGATCCCTTCATAGAGGCCTCTTGGAAAACGGATCCCGTTCTCCTGTCTCCACCCGAGGCGGTCCGGTGGATCTTGGGGGCTGGTCACGCCTTTGAGGCTCCGGGGTGGGTCCACTCCGGGAAGGAGAGGAACTGCCATGAAACCAACCGCATAACATGTCATGTGAGAGGTTTCAGTAGTTCTTGATTTGAGGTTTCAGTAGTGCATGCCAGATCTTGCCCGCTCCAATGCCTGGACTTTTAAGTTCAATCGATGTTCATCGACAGCCTGCACCTGTGACACCGCTCTCAATGCAGTCGAACTGGTGCAGTCGAAGTGCCGACTGACTGCACTCCGGGCCCTTGCCCTTGGGTCCCGGAATCGGGAGGGATCACGCGAGGCTTCACCATGGCCAGGTCTTGGGCCTTCGCCCCAAGAAGTTTGGACAGGGCCTCTTGCGTCGGCGCTTTCTCAGGCCGCTCTCGGCGGGGGGGAGGGGATGTTGGGAGATGGGGACCGCCTGCTGAGTTGATGAATGGCAATGGTTTTGAGTCATTCGATGGGAAAGGGTCTCGGTTGTGACGCGTTTTTTTGTCTCGAATGTGACGCGGAGAGCTTTTCTCAGTTGTGACGCGGAGAGCTTTTCTTTTAGAGAATCTGTGTGCTTCTGGGCCCTTGCTTGGTTCTCATAAAGTCATAAAGCTCCAATCCAGCTCCACACCAATTCCACCAAATGCCACTCTAAACTCTGAAGCCCAACAACCTAATGTCCCACCCCACCCCTAAACCCCCCCC